GTCCTCGGTTTAAATGAACCCGTAGATGATGGTGCGCATTCCTTTTTGCAACAGACAAAGATACCTCTCGTCCTGGGTATCTGGTAAAACGCTGCATGGATGAGGGGCTATACTGGAATCTGAGGTACGATTAATAAAGGACGTTTATAAAATGAAGAAATTAAGTACTGTATATTCTGCATTGTCATTGCCCAGGAATCCAAGGATGACATCTGGCCACATACACTTTAACCCAACTGCAGTGGAGTCAGGACATTTTTACAAAATGCTGTTTTAATGATTGAATGAACAGAACACTTTATTTGCCGCTTTTCAGGGTTCACAAGGTACAATCAAGATTTCCACATCCAAACCCCCTCGCCACCCAACCCAAATCCCCTCAAAGACATTTGATCACTTCAAAGCAGGAAAGCACAAATTGATAACACAAATAAAAGAAAATACAATACAACATGAAATACAACTGGACATCTGACATGTTTGCATACACCCACTCATTTCCTGACATTGAAAATAAAATAGCAGTAAAAGTTTATTTAAAGCACAAGATATTCAGCTTGTTTCTGTATGAGGTTTAGTTGAATGAACAATTTAGAGAGAATCTTTGCTGAGAAATTGTATAAGGCCAACAGTTTATCTTGATCTGTTTTAATATTTTTATACAATCCAAGGGACGTAAGAAGGAAAATTTGTTCAAGAAATGCTTTTGTGGTAGAGACCCTCTATGAAATAAAAAGAGAACCCTACGGGACCACAAAGAAAATTGTCGTATAGACAAGATTTTTGTAGAGAGAGTCCATTTGTACAGTAATAATAAACTCTGGACTGATGAGCAATAAAGCCTAAATTAGGGAAAATTAATTTTTTTTTACTCTGCCTGCAGAAAATATTCGGTTAAGCAAGGAAAAATTCCTCACAAGGTGGAATTTTATCTGTATTCCTATTCTAGGATTGGCATTGAAGTCTTATAAAAACTATACAGGCTTGCCTATCCCAGATTTTTTTCACTTTTTAGCCTTCTCAGCCCAGGCTGAATTTTGGTAAACTGTGTTCATACCAAAATGCCCCTTTGAGCAAAAAAAGGTGACTCTGCTGCACGATGGAAAGGAACCCACGGATATCTAAAGGTTGAAGTAAATTTTACAACAATCCAAAATAGATTCTTATAATGTAATACTGTCGTCTTCTGTTCAGCAGAGTTTCTGCATAATAGAAGCTGTGTTGTTGGTCTTTTGTTGTGCGAAATATTTCAATGCCGTCAAATCTGGAAACTCCGAGGGATCTGCGAAAAACTTTTATGAGAGAGCTTTCAAGGGAGGTAAACTGAAGTAGCATTTTTTGTTTTAAAAAAATTGAGATTTACATAAATTTGATATTATCAATCTTCTGGAGCTCGAATTGTTGGGTAAATGAGTTAATTGATCAACTTGGAGGCAAGCTATAAGGTCATTTGCCAGATTAGTCTCTAATTTATTTTCACAATAAGCATAATGGTTTAATTTGTGTTTATTTTCTCTTTCCTAGGTCCCAAAAATAATATCCCGAAGTCCTTCAGAAGTCTGAGTTATACAGAGGTTTGAGGGGGAAAGTCATAAAGCTATAAAGGTTGAAAAAAGGACCTTATTAATAAGGGAATGGAGACAGGGACTATAAAAAAAAATTTTGGCCTACTGACAGAAAAGTTTTGAGTTATAAACTGTACACGCTGTTTGTATGTGAGGCTTATGCGTATTATATGATGGGCTCTTCATTTTTATTTTTACTGTATTTACGAATTCTGAGTCAGAGATATGATGCATCATTGCGCAACATTTGGTACTCACTGGAAAACTGACTGCTATTAATCGTCATATTTAATGACTCAGAATAATGAGCAAAAAACTGATGCATGTTGCTTTCTTTTGTAACTCGAATTACACGAATCTTTCGGTACATGTATTCCTGATGTATCCTTCCAGCGATGTCATTTGATCATGTGGATCTCACGAGACAACACAGGGATATCAAGTTCAATTGACCTTCCACCTTTTCGCTGATCTTCAGGATTACACATTAGGTTCAATATTTTTCCGCACGAAAGAATATAGGAGAGAAAATGAGAACCACAATCGGGTCTAGAGATCAAGTCCATGACCATCTTTATATAAAACGCAGCAAAGGAGACGATCCACTGATGGATAAAATGTCTTTATGTGTTCGAGTCACATGAACTTCGCAAGGAAGACTGGTCACTCTGCTTGATTACTCCTTTCATTATAGAGTATATACACTGTATTTTTGGAAAATAATTCCTTTTATACCGGTGAAACCCATGCTTCAATGACTTCAAATACTTAAAAAAAATGCTGATTACTGTACTGTATACAAAAGAAAATTATATAAATGCTCAGGGAGAAGAAGATCAGAACCGAGTTTTTTGCAGTCGAGAGATGTTATGCATATCCATCATGACAATCGAAAAAATTCAACAAATCGTATTTCCAAGAAAAAATGATGAATAATGTATCCGCGAATGGCAAAGATATATACCACCGCCTGTATCTATAATTTCCTTTGATTTGGTCCTTTCTGCAATGTTGTACAGTATTTGAGAAGCATATCTCTCTTTCAAACGATGTGCTGTAAAATGAAAAAAAGTTTGACATCAATTGTGCTGTGCATTTTCATTTGCTTTCGATTTGTGTTTCATTTTCCAGCTTCATCGCTCAAAAATTCCCATAAGAGAAATCAGAATTTCAACTCCGCATGCTATAAGATATCTTCGAACTATCGAAATGATGGTCCTACACAAAAATTCATTGGACACTGCATCACAATGGAGGTTTGAAACGACATAACCAGACATGCAATTTGATGAATAATACCTCGGTACATTTTGTGTTCGAATTTTGAAAATTGTACAGAAGACATGTAGGGAAGAGTATTTCAATGCCCCCATGTGGTATACAACCACTTCATTATGTGCGCCCCATAATTACAGTACTTGAGTGCTTTTGGGCATACATTGACCTTGATACGCATTGGAATTTCCTTGGAATTGGTGACAAAAAATGCAGAGAAAAGGCACAAAAAGCCTTTCCTTCAAAGCAAGTAAGAAGATTTCTGAGAAAGGGGATTTTATTTTTCTGTCTAAAAATGCAATGCATTTAGTATTATTTCCTCCTGCATATCCCAGTTGACCTATGCCGCTATGCGACATAATTTTCAGTATATTGTATAGGGGCAGATGTAAGATTTTTTCATAAAAACATAATTCCGTCTGAGTCACAAATAAGAAACTTTTATACAAAAACCGTGAAAATGCTCCCTCAAACATCAAAACGCAATGCATTTTTCCGAAATTCATTTTGAGAATTTTCTGTGTTACGGAAGGTGAAAACCTATCGAAATTGTAAAAGTAGTACGATCTTCAGTACTCAGCAGTGAGAAATCAACTCATTGTCTCGTTCTATTTTGTAGAATATTGAAAAAAGGAATACAGTATCAGAAAATCCTATTGAGATAAATTATACATTCAAGCTATATGCAATTGAATTTATGGAGGAAAAAAACTGATGTGCGGTATAGAGGAAAGACTCTGTTAATTGTTTTCTACAACAATATCATTTTTATTCTCCTCTTAGTAAAGATGAAGGACCATTTTCAAAAAAGGATCTGAATAGATTCCACGAGTTGGATTCGAGACGGTATTCCTTATTTAAAGAGGTTCCATTTCATCAATATACAATATTAAACCAAAAAAAGTATTACAGTATTATCATTTGCTGCGTATACACTACTGTACAGTATATGTTTAAAACATTCCAGTCTCTGCGGAGGAAGCACTCGGCTGCCACCCAAGTATGAAAACCTCATGTTTTGATGTACCGCAATAAATACAGTATATTACTGTACAGCATTGGAGTATCACATCAGCAATCGCAGAGACAAAATGAAAATGCGACGAGAAGGCATGAGGAATTGATTAGTAGCGACATCTATATGACGATACGTAAAAGACCCGTTGCACTTGGATATTTTATTCCTCTAGTAGTGACGCTACTTTTTATATACATGTTCCTCCACTGTGTAAATATGAACATATATTCCTTCATTGTCCGCAAACATGATCATTTGTCATGAGCGAAAGATTGAGCGAACCCTTCCTCAATAATCGCAGCCGATGGCAGCCTGTTATATCCATGCTTCGGCAGAAATAAAAAAGAAACAGGCAGTAGGATTGCAGCAGACCAATTAAAGGTTCCCCTTATTGTGTCCATTATATATACTACTGTATTATATATTTGTGAATGATCTCAGACGGTAGTGTATCTACCGTACTGGCTTGGAACCACCCTTTTTTTCTGCTGACAAAGGAATTTTGGAACTCCTGAAGGATTTTTCCCCGTATAGATCGCACTATTACCTCTTCGATATCATTTTTTCCCGTCCAGTGAGTCTCCAACCAGAACAAAATCAGTGAATATAGCAATAACATCCTGAACACCAAAACAGATTCTAGGATTCCTCCCTGTAAGCGGATTCCTACAAATGTAAAGCCTTGCCACTGACATGCGCGGGAAAATTTAAATTCTTGTGAACAGCTTCCAGTTTGAGGCATGCAGTTCAGAGGAATGTTATTCGTGAAGTTACTATACGCAGGAGTCGCCAAATGAAGGGAATTATTCTGTTCTGTCGTCGTTTCTGCTGAAAGCGGCGAGAAACTACACCACCTAATGAAATAGATCATATCACCCCCATCTTATGATTTTAAAAAACCAGTAAGTATCAAAGGTAGGAATTTTTAATTCAATACTAACAAATTTGGTGCTACAGATGACTGATCAGCACTCCATTGCGTACAGTAGTAACAGTGCCTCAGGCGAAAAATGACAAGTACCTATAGAAAGTAATTAATCTACTACTTTGCTCGTAGATGTCGCTTATATATGAGGGCGCAGTTAGTGTGGGTTCTTTGAAAAGAAGGAACAAATCACATGGGTGGACTTGTTTTTGGTGGGAATAAATGTCCCAGGCATTAGAGAAACGCGTTCTCGAGTGAAGTCGCAGTAACTTCGGGCGAGAACATCTTTGAATGTCAATGCAGTACTCTGGACTAGAATGAGGTCTCAATCGATTGATGTCGGTGTATCATGAGCTATATTCTTGCTTGGAAATTCCAGCCCATAAATTTTTCTTCACCGCTTCGGACCCCTTGATTTTTATTGAAAATTATGGAATTTGATTCCCTGATGGACCGAAGGTGATTCAGTAGATTCGAGTATGGCAAATGCCGCGAATATCCAGAATTTCGTCAAGTTCGGGCGAAAAATTGTTTGCATCGGCAGGAACTACAAGTAAGTTGAGGATAGAAAGAACATAATTTGTTCGGAACTGGTTAGGTTTACAAATCTTTCGAAGGGATCACATCGCAGAGATGAAGGCTGCCTTGCCGACGAAACCGGTTGTTTTCATCAAGCCTGCCACAAGTTATATCCAGCAGGGTCATTCAATTGTGGTGAGGCATGTTTTTCTTTGATGAGAACACATGTGTATTTTTGCAACCGGCTTTCGTTGCCTTCTCCCTTTTTTGTCGTCGCATGAATGGAATAAATCATTCATTGATCATTCGAGTTCTTCAACGTGTACCTGTGGGCATTTCATTACTGTATTCGCCCGATTTTATAATTAAAATTTCGATTTCTCCTTTGATCCTGTCGTTTTACACTCCTGTCGAAAACGACGTACAGTATTTAAAAAATAAGAATTTATAAGCACTGGATTAACACCAATTTTCCGTCAGTGTACAGTATCTCTGCATGGTCAAGCACTCCACTTTTCGTTTTAAATGGTTTCCATCCGTCATAGAATTACACCAGAAACATTTGTGGAATGGAAACGCTGAAGAGAAAAAAAAAAACGGGAGGAAAATCAGAAAATCCCGTGGGTTCAAAATTCTGAAGAGGATTATGATTTTCTTTTCTTTGTGGCGATGCGTAGTATTTGTTTAACAGTATTTAAATTCAACTTGGAGAAACTCCCATGTCTGAAAATGTCCCTTCCTTTGTTCCCTAAAGATTCCTCCGGAATGTGACGACTTGCACCATGAAGTAGAACTGGGTGTGGTGATCGGATCACTAGCACGCAATGTAGAACAGTCTTCAGCCATGAGCTTCGTCGCTGGATATTGTCTCGCTTTGGATATGACAGCCCGAGATTTGCAGCAGGACTGCAAAACGAAGGGACTTCCATGGGAAATTGCCAAGGGCTTTGACACATCTTGTCCAATCGGAGAATTCATTCCCGCGGAGAAAATCTCCGATCCGCACGACCTCGACTTATGGTCAGTTTATTGATTTTTTTATTTGTTTCCGTGTTCCGAAAGTGGACGAATCGGATACTACCGGTAATATATTCATTTTTGTTTTATGCGGAGAGTTTATTGTCAGGCTATGTTCCATCTGTAGATTGAACATCACATTTTTGTATGATTTTGAAATCCGAAAATTATTAAGACCAAATTACTCTTGAAGCGGTTTAGGTCGAAAACGTTGTACGTTGTAGTTACCAATTCTCGCGGAAATGATGGTCCCCGTCCTTCGATTGATCGACTTGATTTGAAGTTATATATTCCGCCAATTGAAATAAACCAGGTGAATTTTGATCAAGACCCCTTTTCTGGCTAGACCCGAATCATTTGAGTTGTCTGTAAATTTTGTTTGAGTTCGAGATAGAATAATCACGGCGAGATACGGTGGTACCGCGAACCTAATCTGTTGAAATGTACAAATGCTTTCTTTTCTTAGGTGTGAAGTAAACGGAAATCCGAGACAAAAGGGAAACACGAAGGACATGATTTTCTCGATTCCGACGCTGATCGAATACGTTTCCAAGTATTTTACCCTCGAACCCGGTGATGTGTTGTTAACCGGAACTCCGGAAGGTGTTGGTCCAGTTAAACCCGGAGATATTATACGAGCTGGGTTGGGAAATCTCTCAGAAATTCAATTCTCCGTCAGCTCGAAAAGCTGAGTGTTGGTGCTTCTGTATGAACATAGTGAAAATCCTGGTGATTTGGACAGTGACTTGTTTTAGTAAGAACGGGGTTGAATCGTGTAACGGGTGGGAATTCGGAACTAATGCATGTATTGATGAGTTCATTCATTCCATTCGATTTTCGAATCCTTGATTTGTGAGCTTCATAGATCTAATCTTATCTTTGAATCCATGGAAGAATAACATAATTTCAGAGAATCGCTTGCCTTTTCAGTTCAGTTAACTGTAATTCAACGATTACCATCTTTAAAGCCCGAAGAATAAATTTTCAATTACAATTTTCAGTTACAATGTTGCTTCTGTGTCGAACTCAGATGAATATCTGCTTTTATCCGAAACATTCGCTATAGAAGAATGCAGCTTTGAAATGTTCTCGTCATGTGAATGAAAAGAAGAAGTGACGGTAATAGTGAATGGAAAGCCTATAATGAGGGTTAAGCTCAACACTGTCCAAAAGGGAAACGACAGCTGATGCTTCCTTGTCCGTTGATATTTATGTGAAGAAATGTTTTCAAATACCGGTACGTTAATATTAGGGTATTAATACCCCCACCTAAAATTATCGTTCGCACGCCGTTAGGTTGTTCCACTATTTTTGCCATATTTCTTCATTATGCTAACGAGTGTGTGATCGTTACTTGCAGATGAAACTTGCGTTGAAGGAAACGAGTGTTGAAAAAGACGGTGGTGGCGTTTCCGGCAGTGAACGTGTGGTAAGATGAGCTTGAGTATTCTCATTTATAAATTCAGATAATATCTGCATTAAAATCGATTAATCGTGCGAGATGCTTAAAGTAAGTTACCTCGATGAGTAGTTATTCTCATTTATAAATTCAGATAATATCTGCATTAGAATCGATTAATCGTGCGAGATGCTTAAAGTAAGTTACCATTCGGCTATTCTGCATTTGACCGGGATTGCTGATTTTTTCAGTGTATTATGAATTTTCACCTCGATTTTTCGTTGATGGAAAGTTTTTCATTCTAATAATTATGGAGTAAAGTTTGAACTTGCGAAAGATGAAAACGTAAAAAAAAAATGTCTGTTGAGCCTGTGATATTTCTTTCATCATGACAAGAAGGAATTGATGGGCACTTCTCTCTTTTTCTTCAGGCTCCCGAACACGTGGTAGTGTTTCATCCGGGCTCCAAATATCTGAGGCTCGGTAGAGCAAGTGATGTGAGTGCGAACACTATTCTTCACGCCATCGCTCGACGAAGGAAACCAGACGGAATAGAGCACAATGATCCATTTCATGTTCCCTATTACGACGATGTGAGTTCGTCAGAAGTCTTGACGAAATGACTTGAAAGATCTTAGACCATCTCTCTGTTTTCGAATCCAGGCGGATTTGGATGATGATGAATTCAATGATGTTATCGACCAAGGGCGGGAATGCGTGTCTTCCATGACTCCAGCGGGAGTTGTAGATGAGGTTGACGATTTCGAAGTGGTCAAGTTCAACCGAAAATGTCGCCCGGAAAAGGTTCCTTACGTGAGTGAACTTCGAGGATATCCGAAAAATTACCGTGCATTGAGATAATATTTCCTGCATTTGTTATTCGAGAAACTGCTATATTGTGTTTCCTGAAAAGAAATTAATTTCATTCACCTGACTGTTCCATTGCTCAGTACAGTTTTGGACAGCCGACGTATCATTCGAACGCTGCGTAACGTGTTTTACGCTTTCAATTTTCCTTGCAGAAATCGACGATGTTTTCGAAAGTGCCTCCTACGAAATCGGATGTTCTGGTGGGCAATGAGGTATCAATTTACAAACTCCTCATTCGGCATTTGGGTGACGCTTTTCATTGCCTCTTTTCTCTCAGATACTGAAAATGAAATTGAGTGCTCTGGAAGCCTTCAACATCCATTCACCTTGGCGGAGAGGGGACTTGAATTTGCATTCAGGGTGTGGAGGATCTTTGACCGCAGTCCTGAAAGATTTGAAAGACATCTGGCTTCATGGTTTGCGAACAGCACTTGCAATTCGAGCAGATGAGGTCCAGGTACGCTACCGTATCACGTAATCCTTGATGGGTACCTTTGGTAATACTGTACGTGCTTTTATCAAAGGAGGTTTGAGTATTGTACCTCATTTGAAAGCCGAATGTCTCTGCCATTAATGCCTGCATTAAAATTATTAGCTCTCGACTCGGTGAGGACGTATCTATATGGTCACCCGTTTTGTTATTGTTAGATAATTTTTTAATGTAAATGATTCTGGCGACTCTTGACATATCTAAAAAAAATTACAAGGTCGGGCTTGAAATTTAAGACTCAAGATATCACCGAGTTGTATAGTCTTCTGTATGATGCATTGAGAGGATGCTGTTAGGGTTGTCTTAGTACTCCTAGCTTTTTCCACTTGGGCAACTTTCTTGCTCTTGTTACGTACCTTGTACTTATCGGAAATTTGAAGGCCTCTCCTGATTTTCAATTTGCTACTTGTTCATGGTCACATTTGAACTGTGAGTTTGTTCTTTTTGACAGGACTATCGAGTGGTCTTAGTCATCCCCGATATCTATAACAGATCACACATTAAGCATCTTATTCGACTACTGGTAGAAGACATCGGCTTTGCATCATGTTTGGTGCTGCAGGTAATGGTGCATTGAATTTTATTTTGGCACGATGATTTTTCTTATGTTGCAATACTTTTATTTTATGATGTAGGATCATGTTGCTGCAACTTTTGGTTGCGGTGTAGCGCACGCCTGTGTCGTTGACGTTGGTGATCAGAAAACATCTATCTCTTGCGTGGAAGACGGTTTTTGTCATCGTGAATCTCGAGTAAGCTTTTTTATTCTATGGAGTGCTGGTAGAAAATTTAGCTGCGGGAAAATGTAGATGTTCTCCTAAATTCCGTTAGGTGCGGTTTGCTTTCGGGGGCAGCGATATGTCAGCTTTATTATTGCGAATGCTGCGGACGAGGTCGGGCTTTGATCCGGAAAATGGGCCTTTTGCGGAGCTGGATCCGTGTTCATCGTTGTCGAATTCGTTGTTCATCAGTCAGCTGAAAGAGGCGCAGTGTCACGCGGATGTGGTTCGTTTTGATGATTCAGCACTGTATTTCATCCGTGTCACGGAAATGTGAAACTCGTCATGTGTTGCATCCCCAGACTCGGCCAAGATCGAAAATCGAAACCTTATTCGTTCCAAGTAACGACGAAAATTTCCGGCTTTCTTGTAAGACGAAGGTAAGGGTAATTCTTTTCTGTTCCGCCTCATTCTTAGCCACCATGCCATGTTGAGACATGAGTAGTTGTATAATTTCGGATTGCAGTTTTTTTTTGTTCTGGTTCATTATGGAAATTTACTTGCGTGGAATTTATGTTTTATGCTTGCTCTTTCGTGAGCTTACTTTTCTTTACATACTCTTCGTTATTCGCTCCTTGAGATTCACGGTCCAAAACCTCAATTCCCCTTTAAAATTAAGCGTTGGTTGAAGCCTTCGTTTTTCTTTTCAGCTTGGAGATGAGCCGTTGCTTGTGGGAGTATCCGTATTCCTTCCGCAGTTGTTCGCGGAAACATCCCCAAGAAACTCCACAGGTTTCGTTGTTCGTCAAGCCAGTGCCCAGGATTTTAATGACCCTGATGATCCCTTCGATGTCAATTTTCTTCGCGTAAGATATTATTTTCTGTAGTATCCTAAACTAAGATAGATTGGTGATTTAACTTGAACTAATACCCAGGAATCGAGACGGAAAACAGCCGCTGCCGCGGTTGGCGACGACGATGATGAAGGATTGGATACAGCTGGAGACCTGAATTCACATTTAGAACTGGATTCTTGGGACCCTGATTTGCACCGGGCCATTGTAAACTGCGTCGAAAAATTGGCCTCTGAAGAAACCAAGGTTTGAATTTATTTTCAAATGTCGAAGACAACACCCCTTATCTGTAATATAAAAAATATGCGCCATGAAGATGTTTACAAGAAGTGCGTTTAAACGGATCTACAATAGTGAATAATTCAGATTACTACATGTACTGGAATACAAATATTCGGTGAAACGCAGAAGTGCTTTTAACATAAAGGGAATGCGTTTTTTTGTTTTTTTTATTACCTGACGCAGGAGAGATGGTAAAGAAGCCTCGGGATTTTACGAAACTTCTACCTTGAGCCGAATTGAGTTTCGTGTTTTTATTTTGGGGCTGCTCTTAGTGGAATGATATTTTGCCTGAGTTCTTTTTGGTCTGTTCTGTTTGTCATTCAACACATGTCGTATATGATAGAGATCAAAGTTTATTTTGAAATGAAAATAAACCTCGTCTTATGGGCATCTTCTGTTCTAGATGAAAATGTACGCAACGATCCTGCTCGTGGGAGACGGCTTGGCTAATTTCGAAGGGTCGAAAGCCTTTCTGCGCAACATGGTTCGCTCTGTGATGCCGGAACATGTTCTTCAATTGATGCCCCACGCCCCAGAAATCGTCATTCCGTCGGGTTCGTCTCGTTCCGCCAGACCCACGGTTGGATCGGCGTGCTGGAAAGGCGCTGCAGTGTTTTCTTGCTTGGATTCTTCTCAGGACCTTTGGATCTCTCGAGGCATGAAGCCTAGAACGTGGCGCGAAAAGCTCCCATTTGTGTGGTGACATTTTCGGGAGAGTTCTCGCGGAAAAAAAATGTCTGTTCCTTAATTCGACCTTCAATACCGCTCTGAGTGTTTTATTGCATTCAGCGGGAAACAAGGCTCTCTATAAATGTTTCCGTGTATGATCAAGCAAAAAAAGCGTTTTTTTGTTCATTCTCAGATGCGATTTTGTTTCTTTTTTTAACCAATGCAATGGGAGATTGAAATAATTTTAATTCACACCCATTTTCTGCTCCATTCAGCCTTTTTAATGATTCACTGCAAGGTCATAGTGCCACTGAGTAATTAAAAAGTTCATCAGTTTATTCTGCAGCGGTGTACCAAAATGTTAATTATGAGAGCGTGGAACTGCTGGGATTGCAAGAGTTATTTGCGGTAATATGGTGTCTCGTTGCGGTTTGAAAGTCCCTAGCTTTATCAGAGGAAACCACTGTCAAAATTGTTACCAAATCGGTTTGTTTTCGCTTGACAACCGGACAACCCTCGTGTGGCTTTCATCTTCTGACCGTCATATTTCGTATGCAATTTTTACTCGTTCTCCCGCAAAATCGTCTTTATTGCAGATGGCGTCGTTGAGAAATTTTTTCAGAATTCGCTGGCGTTTTCACGTGGTTGAATCATCAAAATCGCGTTTCTTTGGTACGAATCGAGTGTTCCGCGGTGCCAAGTGTCGTTCTCGTGGGGAAGCTTTGGCTGGAACCGGTGGACTCACACTCGCTGTTCTGTGGTACTACTTTCGCCGAACTGACTCGTAAGTGTAGCCTTTCAACCCGGAGAAGTGATGTGTTCTGAATTCTCGAACATCCGCTTTTGAAAATATTTTCTTCGATTGATTAACCATGAGCTTTTTTCTCACGCAGTCGCGGTCCTGAATAGCATATACTAAATATATTTTAGTTTTCATTCGCGAGGTCAGTAGCATTCATGTTTCTCCCGTAAAAAAATGGAAACGACTTTTATATTTGATAATTTTTAATGGTTTGCAGTGCTTGGTGCGGTAATAGATCGTATTGGTGGAAAGTTGTACGAAATCTTCAAGGTGTATGAATGCAAGTTTTAGATCGAGCGAGAGGAAAGTCTCCCGATTTTGGTGATTCGCTTTACCCGCACTCGAATTATAAAAAATATTCAAGTTGGCGAGTTCTTTCATTTCTTAAGCATCTGCGATCAATTTTTAATTACTGAAGATGTGATGCATAGTCCGGAAAAGCACAAAAATCAGTGAGGCAAATTTGAACTAGGCCAATGGACTTGGATAAAGTAAGGGTTTGAAATGTGTGCCGAATTGCCAGAGTTTATCATTTGATTTTCATCCTGATTGCAGCGTATAAAACCAGAAAGGAAAATTGCTGCGAGGCTCTTTTGACAATGTCGCATAGGATTCGTGTAACTTCAGAACAGAGAACAAATTACTTTTCGATAACCGAACTTAAATTGAAGTACAGTATGTGGAAGGTGTGAAAAAGGACTGTACTGTTTGATTTTCCCACTCTTAGATGTCGCCATGGCATGTCTCCCCGAAAGAAAAAGAGAGGCATTAAATTAAATTTGAAAGGATAGCGAAACATTGAAAAATTGCGGGGAACGCCTCTTCAATTTTGAGGCAAGTTGAATGAGATTCCGAATTCATTTAAAAAGAAAAAAAAAAAAGACCTTGTATATCCATCCTTATGTTTTGACCGAGATAATTCCGATTCGGTTTGCAGCCAGGGTATCCCGCGAATTTTTAAAATAAAATTGCATGACTCAGTCTTGGTTCATTCCAGAAAGGAATCAGAATGGAGTTTTTCCTCGTCGCTTGAAGCCAAATGCGAAGCTGCTGCGGTGACGCAAGGGAAGGATTCTTCTGGAGCTCTGTTCAATGGTGGGCACTTCACTGTAACCGAAGATTTTAACCAAATTCGGATACCGATTACCACTGCCATCACCCATGCCAGGGAACTGTGCTCTCGTAGAAAGGACGAAACAGGTGCACCGGGAATGACGATCGCTGTCAGCGTCGATGGGGAAGTCGTGTACACAGAAGGTAAATGCAGTGTTACAGATCTCAATACTGAATATCTTGTAGTAGAACACAAAACCAGTGAATATAGTGAAAGCATGCAAAAGTGCGTCAGGGTTCATCATTTCTTGTGCAGTCAGTTAGTTGTTGGCTTCTTTTGCTAAAATTATTCATTTTCAAACGTTTTGCGGATTGTGCACGTGTCTCAAGTTTGCTCTGTTTTCAATACTGCCTCATGTTCAGCTTCAAACGCAGCGTCCATCATATTTATCAATAGCAAAAAGTATCATTATTCTAATTTCCAAGTACCGTAATCATCTGAAGATCCTCATGATTCTTACTTTTGCGCTTGCAGGGTTCGGTTATGCGGACGTGGAACAGCGGGTTAAATGTGTTCCTGACACTGTAATGCGAATCGCGAGCATAAGCAAAAGCATGACGATGGCCATGGCTGCTAAACTAATGGAAGAAGGGAAATTGGATCTTGACAAACCTGTTCAGGATTACGTGAAATATTTTCCGGAGAAATCTATCGACGGGGAAAAGGTTTATTTTTGCCCTTTTCGCTTTTGGAATGTAATCTCCAATGAAGAAAGAGAATCGGTTCGCAGGTTGTCATTACTACCAGACACCTCGTGTCCCATCTTGGAGGAATTCGCCATTACGAGAAGAAAAAATTCGATGAATCCAACGAGGAAACGTCTGGGAATAAGCGGTCCGTCGGCACGAACACGAAAGTTGCTGACGAATTCCAACTTCCCGAATATTACCTCAAGGAGAATTTCAAATCTGTCGAACAGTCCGTGAAACTTTTCAAAGATGACGAGCTTATGCACAAGCCAGGTAATAGTTTCACCACGATTGCAGTTGTCTATTACAGTACTGTACAGTACATGAAAATCTGGCAATCTGAAAAAAGGAAACGTGCTGCTGTGTGTAGAATTATGAAAAAAAGCAGCGAATTTTCGTCGACTGCCACCGGAGACAATGTAGCAAGCGAAATGTTTCAATAGACTGTCGTCGATCATGTTTTGACCATCGGAAGTGCAGTAATACATTCCTACTACTAATTTCCTTGGCATGTTGTGGATTTGCGATAGGTGAAAAATTCCTGTACACAACACATGGTTGGACACTTGTGAGTGCAGTTATTGAGGCTGCGGCTGGCAAACCTTTTGCCAAATTGGCAGAGGAGTATTTTCATTTGTGGGGAATGAGGAGAACGTTTCTGGACGAAAATGCTCCCATAATTTACGGCAGATCAAGGCAAGCTTTTTTCTGCTCTCTATTTTCATTTGTGTTTTCAGGGTTAAACAATTGTGTTGCATGCTTCTTGTAGAAATTACGTCAAGGATTCCCATGGAGTCATAAAAAATGCGCCCTACGTTGACAATTCGTACAAATGGGCAGGAGGTGGATTTCTGTCGTCGGCGGGAGACCTGGTGAAATTTGGCAACTCAATGCTGTACTGCTATCAAACGCCTGATCAGCTTTTTGGCAAAATTACCAGTCAGTAGTTTGTCTCACGATTTCGAACTTCTCAAGTTTTCTAGAATTTACGAGGGATGGTTCAAAATTTATCTCCTAACTTTGGTAAGAAGTTCATGTTTATCCAAGTTTCTCGAGATTCCTTCGAGCAATTATGGTCAATAATTATTTTATACTTGAGGGAGACTTGGTCGAAGATTTTCTACTATTGTACCGTCAAACCCCGATAAGACGGCCACCATTTGTCCGGAGCAGTATTGGCGGTTTCAAGGGGTTGGCGGTTTATCGAACATTTCATTTTTAAACTATTTGATCAAAAATACTCGATTTTCCTAAAGCCATAGAGATAAAGGTTTTCTAGAAACTTCAGTAATTTTCCAAAGAGTATTGCTGTGATCAATGGATTACTTTTTCAGAAAATTGATTTTGCTGCATCAATTTATTCAAATTTTTAGATCGGGTCAATATATCTTAACGGGGTTTGACTGTTGGAGCATTTTTTATGAGAAATACTAGTTCAACCTTCACGTTCAGTATCACTGAAAAAGGTATTCCTAAGGTCTGAACTCTGAAGTTCAAATCTCCGAAATATGCTCTGAATATCCGAAATATCCCCCAGAAGGAAATTGATGTGAATTTTAGCCCCAGGAGTGCCTTCAAGTTTTCAAGATGAGTTTAGCAGGTAAACGTAATTTCCTTTCAAAAATGGGGTGCACTTCCATTTGTTTTTTTTTCTTTCCTTCATTTCACACCGGGTTTGCGAAAAAAAAATGGAAATTGACATGAGTTCTATTGCGTATCTCTTCGTGAAAATCATGTGATATGTTGATGTTGATTGGAGTCCCTTCTAACCTGGTTTTAAGCAGGTGGCCGGAAGGGATTTCTGAAGCAGTCGACAGTGAAGTCGTTGTGGGGGCCAGTAGAACGGACAAAGGCCAGCTGGGACAAGGACGCCTCCTACGGCATGGGAACACCGGAGGCGCCATTGGTGCGAGCAGCGTCTTGCTCATTTTGCCTGACTACGACGTACCCGACTTGAAGACAGGTAGCAATAAAGTGGAGTTCGAAAGAGCCCCGAGAGGCGTGGTGGTTGCAATACTCGTTAATACTCAGAATGTTGGGCTCAATGGAATAGCCAACGAAATCGCGAGGGTCTTTTGTATGACGCGATGATGAGGAAAGATGTGGGGACCCTTTCGTTGTGGCACTTGTCCGACAGCTTAACTTCTTGTTCGTATGTATTTTTTTTATATCGCATGTAGACTTTGTGGAATTATGACCTGTGGTGTTGGAATAACAGTGGAGTTCAACCTACTGTGGGGAGCTTTTTAATCAAGCTTATTTTTCACCACTCGTATGGTGACTCGATTCCCAAGCGTATGGAAATATCATTAAACCTATGAGTTTGTAATTTAGAGACTTGAGCTTCATTTGGGCAGTTTAATCAATCGAAATTATAGGGGATTCTCCGCTACGAAATTCAGAGGGCTCAGAAAAAATTCGTTATACAGAGAAAACCTTTATAGAAAAGATCGTTGTAGAGAGAGTCTGCCTTTTCTGACCAAATTATTAAAAGTGTTCATAAATGAATGTTCTACACAGAGTAAGATGCATAATCCGTTGTGGAGAGCATGAGGAAAATGTAAATCTGTTCTCTTGGCTTTTTGAAACAGGTGTTCTTATATGTGTTACTAATTTTATAACAAATAGGCCTTGAGAAAATGCATGCACGGGAGGTTAGTTTAAGTTAGTAAGATTCAAATTTCATCATATATTACTAGACTTAAGGGAATTGCGAGTGCGTGATTAACTGGAAATTCTAATTGGGAATATTTTTGACTTATGCAGGATAAAATTGGGAATAATAGGTCCTTGTGTAAACTTTGATTTCCGTTGTTTCCATTTTCGAAGTTGTGATAAATTCCTGTACGGTAATATGACGGTTGAAATTCAATGTATGGCAAAAATCTTCTGAAACTATTGAGGGAGAAACTTGACGCGTGCATTGCTTATCAATGACAGTACTGCATACGAAGTTTTGATGGTGTTGCAACCATTTTGCAAGTATCAAAAAATTGGTATACTGTATCGTTAAATTCTTTCAATTTCGTACTTCTGATCAATGATTCTGTCTTATGCTTCAGTCGTGCACGTAAATTTCTGATGCCTGTCAAATCTCATACCAATACAGTACTGCATACGAATTTTTACCGCATCATAAGTTTGGAAATTTCACCATCACGTTAGTTGGACAATCGCACTTGAGACGGGAAAATGCGAATACAGTAATTCCAGTGGTTGAAAGTTTATTTTTTGAAGGTGGATAAAATGATTGTCAGCATTTTTGCGCGAATGGCACAAGATTGTTCCTTCTCTATTTTCAGCATCCATCAAACCACAAAATAATGAAAGCAAATCAGTCGGACGTGAAAAATTACGTTCGCCGATTTATCCTTCAATCGGCTTCTTTCGCGAAGAGCCCTTTTCTTTCATTACTCATTAAAACAGGGTAATTTTCTAAAGCTATAGAAAATTTAAATTGTTCAACCTCTTTTTCCTTTCGAAATTGATCCCGAACTGGTAGCTTGAAAGATGGCTATAGAAACGAATTGCGAAGCCTCAAAAAGGAATGATTTTGACTGTTTTTTCCCTGCTTCGCCTCGCTTAGAAATCGTCAATTGTCTTCGCTTGTTACCTGCCCTATGATATATCTGCAAGATTTCCGAACCTATCTCTATAATAACCAGCCGAATGAAAAATACTGTATGCCAAAACTTTCCCGGTAACCTTAACGAAGAAACGTGCAATAAATCGAGGTGGGAAAGGTAATTTGGGGTTCTCGCTTCGCAGTTTTTTTGAAAAAGGACGAAGAACTTTCGAGCAACGAACATGTCGGTGGGTACAATACAGTACAGTATATCCCCTTATAAATTTTCATGATGCAGATCTCGACGCCGTTTTAACGTTGGCCTTGGAGTTCGCGTTCCCTGAAGCAATTGGACTAGAAAATGAGCTCGGAGGTGGTGGCATAAACTCCAATGTCGCTTCAACCCCAGGGTAACCCGAGGTTTTCGCCGCAGTCGTGTTAATCGCAGCTGCAGTCAGCAAACAAGCCGGTTG